GCTTGTTTATTAAAATAAATTCTATGTGTAGCTTCTACACAATCCATAGGTTTAAATAATACTATTCATAAATTAAGAAAATGATATAGTTTTTATTAGTTAGCGTTTGAATGTGAAAATTAAGTAAAATGAAATGAAAATTCATTTAAGGATTTCAAATAACTTGCATATGTATGTCACATTAGCAGGTTAAGAAATTGTACAAAGAATTTCAAGAACTGCATTGCCTGTTTAAATTTCGTTTTCAAGAAATTGAAATATCAAGCAAGAATCCACCTCAACGGGCAGAGGAAATGAGAAAAATAGAATAGAAACAAAGCAATAAGGCCATACAATATACATCACATTCTCACAATCTCTCCGTGTCAAAGAAATGGCAGCAGAGCCATGTTTTAGGGATCAACAGGATAGGACCTTATCTCTACGATCCATCACCCATTTGCACCATTTATTTTCATCCATGGATTGATTGTATGCTACCTATCTGTTCGTCTCGCTATCCGTACATTCTTTAACCGTCATCTTCTCCAGTACTGACACGTGTTAGCCCTTCAACATTTCAGAAATATATATATACTGACACGTGTTAGCCTTCAAAAATTTCAGAAAATATATTTATATATATATATATATATATATATAATATATATGTTTTTTTTTAATTTTTGAAAATATACTCACTGAAGTAATTAGGTTTTGTCGAACTGTAATAAAAGATTACCTTTAAAAATGCATTTAATTGAATCATATTTTAATTCATCTAACGGTTTAACGCACTCATCAAACAAATTCTAAATGTATAAAAACAGTGACTATTACGAACATAAGCCTTTTTTTTTTTTTTTTTTAATAAACTAAAAAGTTTAATCTCCTTGAACCGTATATTAATAAAGGTTTTTAACTCTCTCAGTAAAAACGCATTTACCAGGAGGAAGAATGAAACTTATATTTCAGCTTCTTACGGAGATTGGGAAGCTCCCTTAATCACTCTAACTCAACACATTATTGGTTAATTGTCGCAAAGTCTTTCTAATTTGAATACTAAACGATAGTTAAGGATTAACCTAGAGCCCTCACAATGCATGGTGTGAAAAGTTAAGAATAAATCACAATAGACATTTATTTAATACATTCCAATCCATTTTGAAAAAAAAAATAATAAAGAAATTTGATTACAGTGTTAAAATATCGAAGATAAAAAGTAATGCTGATACCATATATATTGTAATCATTATTTATCTTTCTTTCATATATCACTTATCTAAACCTCTCACTTCGTTATTGTCACTAAATTCAAATTCTTTTTTTCTTTCACCATTTTTTGTCAATTCTTGTATATTCTTTAATAATATTAGACGCATGACTAACTAGACTTATTAGAAATATAAATAAAAAATAATTTTCTTCAAACTCATATGTTATTTTTATCTAACTGGAGAGGAGGTTGTGTCATAATTATGGTACCCACAATATACGGTTTCCACATTTAATTATTTATGTGATTGAGGATGATTATTCAGTGGCGAAATTGACACTTAACTGGCACTATTAAGGTTAGCATCATAATAGCCATTGGAGAAAGATTTAATAGGAGGTAGATGTAATTGATATATAAGAATTTTTAAAAAAATTAAATAGGAGTTATAACGACATTTAATAAAAATACTATAAACACTATTTTAAATGGGGGGATTTTTTGAGTATAGAAAAATAAATATGATAAAAGTGTAAAATAAAGGAAGAGACCACACTGAATATAATGCCGTCCACCCCAAACCTTTCAGTTACATAACCTCTCCAAACGGTTCAATATTATTATAAATTCTTGAATATCAAAGGCCAGTAGATTTTTACCCTCTGATCATGACTCAATGAAGTTATATAGCGAAGCTATTTCCTACTGTCTATTCTCTGCGCGTTTATTTCCTTATTAATTCCAGAAATTGAAGGTAATGAAAAACTCGAGTTAAAATATTTAAAGCGAGTTCGAGTTAATTAAGTGTGCGCTTTGGCGAAAATGTCGACTGCTTCGATAAACAGCGCGATGTTGATGACCTCTCTACCTCGGTATATACTAGATTACATCCTTCTCAAAGTACTTTCTTTTGCGGTAAATGAGTAGAGCTTACGCATGAATACGTTTCCTGGAGTATGATTTTATTGCAATAAGAGAGATTCTTAAATTACTGACTCTTCTCCTGGGCTTCCACTAACGGGTCCCTCGCTATTTCTGGGTAATAAATTGACCCCTAGCTCTCTTTCAATTATTGACAGAATATCGAGCTTTCACAGTTTTTTTGATCACTAGCTCTATGGCACACATGCCTATGATCAAATTACCCCTAATTTGGGTACTCTGTTATTCTTTACATTTTTTCTCCTTACCTTCATCTCTTCTTCTTGTTCTCATATATATAATAAATAATTATTCCATAGATCAATATTAAAATGTAGGTATTTTGTTTATTCGATTGGGAGAGTTTTGCTTCCAATTTCAATTGATTTTACCATAATTTATGTAGTTTAAAGCAGGCAAATTAATTTTAGTGTTCAGATCGAGGTTGTATTTATTATTTGGGATACTTGTTTATAGTACATAATATGCTTTTTAAGGTGTTAGTTTCATCATAATTGTGGTCTTAATAGACTATTATCAAGATGGGTTGTTTCGGTTATAAGTCGTGAGGAGAGTGGTTATTTTTCAGAGACTATTCAATCCACAACAATAAATAAAGGAGTAATAACACCCTGGTTCAAACTATTTTAGTAGTTCTCTTTTCAAGAGGCTGATAGTTATAAGCAAAGCGTCTATAAGTGCGAATAATACAGATAAATTTTAATTATATTTATTTAGTTTATCAATTAGTGTTTGGTTTTTTTAAGAGATTTTATATAAAAAAAAAATACTAGATTGAAATTTTTTTTGTTATAAAGAGATAGGAAATGATTATAATGAACTTTTGTCTGGAAATTTCTTTTTTACACATTATTTATTCCTTTAATTCTTGAGACTATACTCGTATAGTTGCATATGGATTCTATGGTGCCCCCCTTAATTTGGCATTTTTGGGGTCCCAAAAGCAAGTTGCTTATGACTATAACCTCACTAACTTCTACCTAATACAAATGTAATTTAATCAACTAAAACTAACATGGCCGTGTCATTTCTATATGACAATTTGGGCCAAAGTCCTTGACAACTTTTCCAAGTGCTATGATGGGCACTTGAATATCCATATGATTAACTTAACACTCCCGGGACTTGAGGTATCACGTGTATTGAAACATCTACAAAATAACTTGACAGGCAACTCAAAAAATTAACATTTGATAATCCCTAATACAAGGAGAAAGTTATTTGGACTTACACACTACTTAACATAATTTATTTTTTGAGGAAACTAGAAATCCCTTAAAGAGATATCAGATTACACACGTTAATTCAGAACAAATTACTGAATTTCAGTTGATGGACGCGATGGCTCTTATAAATTTTTTTTCATATATATTTGTGATGGGGTACCTTAATGATATTTTTGGTGAAAATATCACCTGATACTAAGGGGATCGTATCTTCCATCTCAAAAAAACTCCTGTCCTCTTGATGATCATATATCTCGTTCAATTTTACAACGCCACCAATCTTAAATAGGAAATTTGAAAACTTTGATACGGAATATCATTGGGATAACATTTTAATATTTCTATTAAATGTGAAACGTTGACATATAAATTTGATAGACGGTTCACATAATTGTTAGGGAATGACTTAATTACATTGAAAACAACTAAGGATAAAGCACTTTTGCTCAAGTAGATAAATAAAGCTCAGAAAAAAAGGCAATAGAATTGTGGTAATTACTAGCTTGTATCGCGAGAGTACTACATGTACATAAAAGCAGCTGTGAACAAATGATTTTAATTCCTTTTTATAACACGCTAAATTAACGTAACCAACCACATTACTCAAATGTCACATTATAGTTTCATTAACGTTTAACATAAATCTAAATGAATTTTTACATTCTAAAAATTCGTATTTATCAATTTAGTCTTACCTAAAAAACTTGTGAAGATTTAATAAAATCTCTCAACTCAGGTGTATATTACACTGGTAAATTTTAAATTAGGTATAATTTTCTGAATTTTTCTTGATTTTCTAGAAAATTTGTCGGTTATTATTATTTTTTCTGCTAAAGAGAAAAAAGTAAATGGGTTAAAGGAACTTCTGAGAATAATGAAGGGAGAACGCCAATAGGGACAACGCCTAATTTTTTTTTTTTTTTTTATAACTAAAAAGTTTAATCTCCTTGAACCGTATATTATAAAGGTTTTTAACTCTCTCAGTAAAACGCATTTACCAAGAATGAAACTTATATTTTCACTCTTACGGAGATTGAAGTCCCTTATCACTCTAACCAACACCTTATTGGTTATTGTCGCAAGTCTTTCTAATTTGAATACTAACGATAGTTAAGGATTACCTAGAGCCACCTCAACAATGCATGTGTGAAAAGTTAAGAATAAAATCACAATAGACATTTATTTATACATTCAATCCATTTTGAAAAAAATAATAAGATTTGATTACAGTGTTAAAATATCGAAGATAAAGTATGTGAATTTTAATATTAATTTCATATATAATTTCTACGTAGTATACATTTCTTTTTCCATTGCAATTTGACTTATAAAAGCGATGATGATTTGAATCTATATCTTAAACTCATAGTTTTTAATTACTGGAGCTATATATACATATATATAAAATTTGTGACGTGGCGAATACCCATTGCATGCATGGAGAAAGATTAATGATAAGTAGTAATATATTTTCATATAAACATATATTTAAAGTATTTGAGATGATAAAAAAAGGAAAAAGGGAAATGAATCTCCAACGTCCAAACCTAATCTACAAAGGCAGTAGTGTTGATTGAGTAAGCTTTCGCTTTCGTTATCTCCAGAAATAGGTAATAAAAATGGTATAAAGCGAGTCGAGTATAGTGTCCTTTGCGAAATGTCGACTGCTTCGATAAACGGGTGGTGCCTCACCTCTATCTCTCCTTCTCAGTCTTCTCTAAGGAGAGCTACATTACGTCCTTGTGTTTTTGCTAGGCTGACCTCTTCTCCTGTTTCTGGTAATACCCCTACCCTTATCAGAAACGAGCCCGTTTTTGCTGCTCCTGCACCCATTATCAATCCTAATTGGGTACTCTTTCTTTCTTTTCCTTCTTCATCTTTCTGCATTATATACATTTCGAAAATTATCTTGTTTCGTTGGGTTAGTAGTTAAGTCATCGGGTATCTATCTTGTAATATTGCATTTTTGGGTGTTTCTAATTTGCATGACTATTTCTATGCTTAGCTGGGGTGGTATTACTCAAATAAAACCTGTCAATTTAGTAGTTTCAAGTGATGTAACCGTAGTGTCTCGTTTTTTCTTTATTTCAAGTGTTGTTGGAAAAAAAAAAAAATACTAGATTGAAATTTTTTTGATAAGCATAAATGATTTAGACTTGTCTGGAAATTTCTTTTTTACAATTATTATTCCTTAATTCTTGGAGACTATACTCGTATATGCATATGGATCTAATGGGTGCCACCTTAATTTGCATTTTTGGGGTCCAAAGCAAGTTGCTTATGACTATACCAACTAACTCTACCTAATAAATGTAATTTAAAACTAAAATCTAACATGCGTGTCAATTTCTATATGACAATTGGCCAACGACATTTTCCAGTGGCTATGATGACTTGATACATATGATTAAATTAAATCCCACTTGGACACGTGTATGACTCTACATACTTCCCACAAAAAAATTGATAATCCCAACAGGAAATTATATTACTACTTGGCAGATCCTAAGGTTCTGACAAGTAAAGACAAAATTATGTTCGTTAAGGATGGTATTTTTTCTTAATTGTGTAGTCCTATATTTGAACTCTGTACTTCTATCTTCCTCTCAAACTTGTCTTTTGTCATTTCTCTCTTTTACAAGTCAAAATAGTAAAGTCCAAATCCATTTTCTTTTATATCTATTAAATGCTTGCAAATTTGAAGATGCATTTGACATTCATCTGTATAATTAATCTCAGGCTGCATTTAATTAGCTGTAATGGAGATTAATGTAATAAAATGCATTTTTAGTACAAACATTACTCAAATGTCACATTATATTTCATTACGTTTCATATCATATTACATTTCGTTACAGCTTACTAAACGGAGCTTAAATTCAACAGGGAATACTAATTATGGTATAATTTTCTGAATTTTCTGATTTCTATGGGAAATTTGCAGAGAAAAGAAATGGGAAAGGACTCTTATGAGGAGGCAATTGAAGCCCTAAAGAAACTCCTCAGGTGAAACAAAAGAAGAAAAAAAGAAGAACATTTTCTTGTTTATTATAACAACTTGAAGCAATGAAATATATAGAAATGTTTTGCAGTGAGAAAGGAGAGTTGAAAGCCACGGCGGCCGCCAGAGTAGAGCAGATAACAGCTGAGTTACAGACAGCTTCATCTGACAGCAAACCCTTCGACGCAGTTGAGAGGATGAAAGAAGGCTTCATTTACTTCAAGAAAGAAAAATATGAGTAAGTAAAATTTTTTTAAAATTTATTAATTTCTTAATAATTTCTTTTATTTAGTTAATTGCTCATTACCAACAATTTTAATTTTGCAGCAAAAATCCAGGATTGTACACTGAGCTTTCCAAAGGCCAAAGCCCCAAAGTATTGATCAATTATAATTATTTTTTTTTTCTTTTTTGGTAAAATGGTAATTAATTTAATTTCTTGAATTTGCAGTTTATGGTGTTTGCATGCTCAGACTCCAGGGTTTGCCCATCACACGTTCTCGATTTTCAGCCAGGAGAGGCTTTTGTGGTCCGTAATGTTGCAAATATGGTCCCGCCATTTGATCAGGTTCCCATTTTAGCTTCTTGGCTCTCTCATAAATTCAAATTAATTGTATTAATTGATTTGTAAGTAAATTATCAGTTAATACTATTTCTTGTTTCATTATAATTAAATAATTATTCCAACCAAAAAAAAAAATCAAAAAATAAGTAAGTTTGCGTTCTATTTTTATTAAATAATTTAATCTCTAAGACCAATATCATAAAAATATATATATTTTCTTAAATATCGTGATCTCAGCCTAGTTTATTTATCTTAAATCAAATAAGAAAAATTCAATTTTAATTAAAAAAAACTTCTGAAAACATAAATTTAATTTCGTTTACAAGAATAGATCCATAATACTACGTTTTATTAGAATAAAGTTTTATTTTTTACAATATTTCATTAGAGTTATTTAATTAAAATCATGGCTTTTTTACATTCCAACAGCTTAAGCACACAGGAGTGGGTGCTGCAGTTGAATATGCTGTTTTGCATCTCAAGGTAAACCCACAAATTGGCTTTTTAATTAATTAATTTGATTAACCTAATTACAAGCTTGAGGATTATTAATTAATTATAATCTTTTGCAGGTGGAAAACATTGTTGTGATTGGTCACAGTGCTTGTGGTGGAATTAAGGGGCTGATGTCTTTCCCATTTGATGGGAACAAATCTACGTATGGATTTTATTTTTTACATTGACCAAGAAATTAAATGAAATTAAGCAAATTAATTAAGAAGAATTCATACAAAAAAAAAATAATAAATGAATTAATTTTGTATTGCTTAATGGGTTGAAAAATGCAGTGATTTCATAGAAGATTGGGTCAGTATCGGTTTACCTGCCAAGGCCAAGGTGTTAGCTGAACATGGTAATGCAACCTTCCCAGAACAATGCACACATTGCGAAAAGGTAAACCCCCCTCCATTCTTTTTAGAAATTTTTACATTACATTAATTTATAAATTCATATAATCGCCACGGAATGGTAAGTGATTTTAATTCTCAACACAAGTCTGAATTTGAAGAAGTACACTTTGCTGAAAGGACAAACAATCTTTATATTTTACAGTTTGGTGGTATTATATTAATTTGTTGAGAAAATGATGCAGGAAGCTGTCAATGTATCACTTGGAAACTTGCTGACTTACCCATTTGTGAGACATGGATTGGTGAAGAAAACACTGGCATTGAAGGGAGGCTACTACGACTTCGTTTCAGGAAGTTTTGAGTTATGGGGGCTTGAGTTTGGCCTTTCTCCTCCACTCTCTGTATGATCATCATCATCATCATTGTCAATCCATTAACCATTTCTGATGAATTATTCCCCCAAGAAATGTTCAATATGTACTCTTGTCTCTCTATTTTCAAATAAATATTTATAAGATGAGTTCCCTTTTGTTAATTAATTAATAGACTTTATTCACTACTGCATTTTTTTGTTTCCTTCTTTTTCTTGCTCTTTTTTTAGGTAAAAGATGTGGCCACCATACTACATTGGAAGCTCTAGAGGGTCATGAATATTTCTGCTAAGAAGAGGAGACTCTTTCCCTTTTGTTTCTTCAATTGGGTTATCTTGATTTAATAACATCAACAACTACTTTCCTTAACATGTTTCTTGCTTCTTCAGTTTCTAACTTATTTACTCATCTACGTACTAATTAATTACCTAGTTCTAATTTGTTTTTAACTATGATAATCATGACTAATTCTATTGACTGAATAAAAAAATAGAAAAACAAATATAATAAAAAGCTGAATTGAATATCAATTGGAATTGAATCAAATAGAACAATGAAAGAATCAGAATCGGTAATTCTTATTTCAGTTACAGTTCATCTCAGAATTTTGTCCATCACTAATTCAACCGGTGCTAACACTTATCTGAATTTTTTGCAAGCAACTCTGAGTCATATTTAGGGTTTATTCGAAAAAATTAACTGTTTTGCTAGCTATTAGTTGTTTTATTAGTTTTTCATAAAAGGCTAAATGTTACATATATTAACTTTTTATAAATACTATTTTAATCTCTAAAAACCAGTTCAAACGCTATATTAATGAATACTATAAAAAATAAAGTTTAATCAAAATATTAAAAATTATTTAAAAAATCGTTATCGAACACAAACTTAGGTAGCGTTTGGTTCGGGGTAAGTGGAGCGGAGAAATTGAAATTCTCGGGAAGTGATGAACCTCGTCATGTTTGGTATCTAAAAATAGTGAAATTTCTGAGAGGTTGAAAATCCAACTTTTTTTGACAGGTCCCCAACCCAAGAAAGTGCACTTCCTGTGTTGTGAAAATAGGTAAAATTCTGTTTTGCTCTTAAGTAATTAATTTAAAGTTAAAATTTGGTCTTTACTTTTTAACACCTCATTCGTTCTTCTTTTTTTTTTTTTTAATTTTTTTTAATTTTTTTTATTTTATGTGGATTGACCGTTGGAAAGTTGAAACTTTTTAAACTATTGTTTATTCTTCTTTTTTTTTGTTAATTTATTGTGTGATTAATTTCATAATGAGCATGATATAATATATTATTATTGTTAATATTGTATGTGGCATTCTGTGTTAATTACTCAACTCTTTAAACATGAGCATGTTGATTATTGTAATAAATATTTTGTTGATTACAGTGTGATAACATATTGTAGGTTGATTATTATATAATGACATTATACTTCCTCGGAAATTACTTCCCTGAAATTGTATTTCTTGGAAAGTTCACTTCCCAGGGAGTAGACCTAATTGAACCAAACGAGGCCTTGGTTTACTTTGGTAATCTAAAGGTTCGTTTACATTGACACCCCAAAAACCGGTTCCAGAAATTTTCAGGACAAAGCCTTTAATTAGTTAGATTAAATAGTGTGACAGGCTTACCCTCATCGTGACCACCAATGGTTGTCTGTTCTCAGAAGGACCACTCTGTGCTGCCACCAGAAGATAAACATAGGAAAAAGACAATTCAATATATAGATATAATAATTCAATAATTATTCTATACTTACAAGATAATTATTATGAGTAATATTACTAATACTAACTAATTCCAAGCAAAATTATCAAAAGAATATCCATCCAAGAACTCATTTGCAATTGCATCATCAAAAAACCAGAAAGGACTTGCACAAGTACTGTCCTTGAACATGATCTCTTGATGTGTGTCTGAGACTTGATCCTGGTGAGTAATTTCAGTGTTGAGACATTCCTTGGAGGAGTTTGATGAGGTAGAAACAGAAGCAGCAACAATGCTTGTTCTGGTGTTAATAAGCCTACCATTTTCATCTTTAGTAGTAACCAGCTTTTTCGTCAGATGGGTATTCCAGTAGTTCTTCACTTGATTGTCAGTTCTTCCAGGCACTCGTTTTGCAATCAGTGACCACCTTATATCCCAATTTTTCTTTTTTTTATCAGAAGTTAGAAATTATGCATTAAAATTTTTTAACCATACATAAATATCTAAACACGTTAAAAATGCATTTTATTATATTACAGTACATTCTATTGCAGTATATAAACACAATTTAATTACTTAACTAAACATATGAAACAATCTTATAATCTGTTATTAGATGATAAATCTATAACGGGTAATGAAATAATATGACACAAATTGAAGAAAACAAAGGCACCCATTAAGCATTTTCCTTCGAATTCTATTTTACTTTTTATGAAATGATGTGTTTAGAGATACATATGAAAAATCTTATTTATTTGATTAATCTTAATAGGACAAAATATTTTGAAAATTATTATTTCAATTAAATTATAGTTGTTCAAAGTGTGAGTGTTGAGATTGTTAAAGAAAAATTAACAACTGTATGTCAAAAGTCAGAAACTATTTACATAGAGAAAAGGTAGAACTAATTAGAAATAGAGTAAAAACCTGTTTCCAAGAAGATTATGAAGTCTAATGATAAGGTCTTCTTCTTCTTCAGTAAAATTCCCTCTTTTCACATTAGGGCTTAAGTAATTCAACCACCTTAGCCTACAGCTCTTTCCACATCTTTTCAACCCTATTTTTACACATTTAATAGTCATACTTATAACCCACAATTAAGTAATTTTTGAGGTTAAACACCAACCAAATTGAAAAGAAAGGGCAAGAAAAATTAAAGAAAAGAACTAACCTGTCTTCTTTGAAATGTGATTCCATTTTCCTTTCCCATGAAGGTTTACATAGTCCATCAGGATCTTGTCTTCTTCCTCTGTCCATAAGCCTTTCTTGTATTGGTTCTGTGGCTCCATATTCTACCTTTTAATTTTCTTTGTTGTTATTCACTTGCTCTTTTTATTTTAATAGTGTAATGAAATGGGTTCTGGGTGTGTCAATTGCTTGGGTTCAGAGTCTTAAATATACGGCGGAAAGGTGTGTCCTTTAGCAATGTCTATGTATAACACAAAACCTTGCGCAATGGCACCATCTTGATATATTTTAAATTGAAGATATGCTTGCCTAATTACTCTGTAAAAATATGCTTCCTTTAGACTTCAAAATCCCACCGCCCGATCAAGATAGTAGAAGTTTTCAACTCAATTCGACTTGTCGTTTGATGGGGCGGACAAAATAATTGTCCAACCACCTTATTCTGCTTTTGCTGCGCCAGTTGAATAGGGAAAAAAAAAGTGGTCTTGTCCTTTCCACTTCTATTTCGTCTCTTCACTCCTTAAACAGTCTTGACAATCCCATTGAAAAATGATAGTAAATTTTAAATTATAAAATGTCCAATATATAGTTAATATAAAGGAATATTTTATTTCTTAAATATGATAAATCAAAATAATTTGATTCATTTTTAAAAAATTTAAGTTATCTTTTTGCATAGATATTTATAAAGAATATATATAAATAAAATATGATAAATCAAAATAATTTGATTCATTTTTTAAAAATTTTAAGTTATCTTTTTGCAATAGTTTTATAAAGAATATATATAATAAAATATACTATATATATATATATATATATATATATATATATATATATATACAATATATTTATTTAATATGATATTTGTATAATATATTTATTTAATATGATATTTGTTTATTCATTTAACATATTAGTTAAATTAGTAATTATTTTATATAATTCACTTGTCTTTTCCTGTGGAAATTTCTCTCCTACACTGTAATCCATATGGACCGATTCATATTGGTGGGATAAATTTAAATTGCAGAACTAGCATTTTTCATTTACAAAAATGATAATTAAATGAATCGAACAAAATTAAACTATATAATTATAAATATTAACAAATATTCTCCTAGAATATTTTTTTCCAACCATCCCAAAATTTGTGTGTTGTTTCTTAATTTTGACTATATTAATTAAGAAAACGATGCCTATGCATAAAACAATGCCCACGCGTTAAAAGTTACTCAAGATTAATGTAATCCAACGGAGGAAGTTAAACCAACAAAAAGGGACAATTTTTAGTTTGCTTGATTAAAAGACATGTATTGGGTATACAGTATGATCGAATAGAGCTTTTATAATCCATTTAATGCTGTCCAGTAGAGGGGCAGAGATAAGACTGTAGACTGTAGTTTTGTGGGGATTCTCGCAAAAGTCCCATGTGAATAAATCAAGAGATTATTCACCATTCAAGACCTGCTAATGGATACTCAATATCACGTTAGGTTGAAGGTGAGTAGAGTAGGGAAGTGTAACTTTTCAGAAGTGTCAATTCTATTTTCCGGAAAATAGATCATTCCAACTTTCGTGGCATGAAGGAAATAAGATCCTAGGAGATGGCTAGAGAAGTGAAGTGCATTGGATTTATCAATTTATCCTATTATCTAAATACACTCAAATTTATATTATGAATATTATTGTAATTTATAGTTTGAAAGCAATTTACTTCCCAGAAAATTGATTTGCATACCAAACATATTCAAATTATACTTCCTGATAAATAAATTCTTTACGAGTGCAATTCTAGAAAATATACCTCTCGAGAAATAGGTCATTTTGAAGCAAATGAGGTCTTAAAAGGATTATATTTTCTGGAAAATAATTTATTTGGAAATGTATTTCCTGGAAAGTATACTTTCTCGAGAAATAAGTCATTTGAACAAAACTGGTCTTAGAAGGAGGACTAGCTACCGGCTTTCCCATAATACATACCCTACCAAACACCAATTACTAATTAGCATACAAGTCGATAGTAGTGGTCCTTCGCATTCAAAAAATGCTACCAGAGAAATTATGCACACACAGTAGACACAACACATGGTAATTTCATTCGACATTAATATCCAGTGACTTGAATTGACTAATCAAGATTTTCTGACTTGGATGCCAATGCTCCAATGTGATGAATTAAAGGCTACTGATTCCATAAGCATATGAGCACCAGCACCGATGCATGCTAAACTTTAAAGGAAGAGTGCTGAGATTGAATTCAGAGTGTTTAGCTGTATCGGTGCAGTAATTGATATGGAAAATAGTACGGTAGGTGATATATGTACAGGACCATTTGCCTTTGTAACTTCAATACACAAAATAATGGCATTCTCTTGTATATGTAATGTGGATAAAATATACAGACCTGAGCTTTCACATACTATGACTCTTCGGGCTTTGGTTCAAGTATGACAGGAATCTTCTCCTTGTGATCACCACGTAATACTTCCACAATCACCTGAGTATCAAAATAATTCAATGTAATACGATGTCTATACTAACTTTTAATGATTTGTGCATTGCACTACAAAATTTTAAAAAGATTTCAGAGAAAAGCCATATGATAAGAAGACCATAAAAATATCTGAGGTCAGTTCACTGATGATGATGCTAATATTCAAAAGGTTCTGAAAGATTAACATGAATGAAGAGTTCAGGTATCCTGGAATTTATGGACACTAGAGACTTTTTGCACCATATTTGGTAATTCATAGATAGTTTCGCCACTTCTAGCCAATTATCAATTTGGCCAACTTTTTAACAACAGGGACTGTTTTTGCACAATGAACACCAAATAGTTTGTTCAGAAAAGGGTAAAATATCTACTTTCTATACATGTGTAGCAACATTGGATATTCGATTGCTATGGTGCAACTTTCAAAGTGATAAGCCCCACCAAATGATTAAGGCATAATTAGTTGTGGTGTGTGCGAGATATTACACGAGTCCGAGTGCCGAGCCTCCCACTCCCAGAGTACTCACAATCTCTCTCTCTCTCGTGCCGTCTGTCTCGCAACACACACACTCTCTAGCGTGGTCTCTGCCATCGCTCTCGGCTCTCCGCTCTCTCTCTGTATGCGTCGTCCTTTCCACACGCCGCGCACTACTCGCTACGGTGGCACTCCCCAACAACGCTGTGTTCAAACACGTGATGGTATCCTGCTGGTTAGCTCTCCCAAAACCCACTCTTCCTCATCTCTTCCCTTGCCGATGTAAAAGAATAATTTTACTAAACACCACACATCCGCGCCCTCCAATAAAGGAAAACGAGAATCAAGGTAAGCTATTGTTACGACCTATAAACTCGTCTACGGCTACAAAAAAAAAAAAAGAAACCAACAACGTTCAAACTACTTACTCTGTTAGCTCACTCCCAAAACCAAACATCCTTTCATTCCCTCTTCCCCCATGTAAAAGAATAATTTTTAAAAAAATGGTAATAAAGGAAAACGAGAAATCAGTAAGTATGGTTACACTATACCTTCTCGCCTACTTTACATTGGTCAAGAATTCTGTACAAGTCACTGCCATTTGTAACCTTTTTACCATTCACCGATGTTATGATATCACCCAAAACAAGTCTGCCATAGGCATCACGTTTTGTGGGTTGCAGACCCTGCAGAACGGAATTCATGCTTTACAATAAGCAGTAAACCTCTTAAAATCAGAAAGGACATCTATCTCAATCATTTTACCCAGTAAACAGAACTCTAATTTCAGTATCACATGCAAGTAAGTTGTTAAAAAGAAGAAATAGAGCATACTGCTTTGCCAGCTGGACCATTTGCAGGAGCATCTAAGACAAGGACCCCACTTACTCCCAACTGCTCCACAGATTGATCAGGTGCAAACTTAATACCTAAAATTGGTCTTGTAACTTTTCCATACTTCACCAACTGATCAACAATGCCACTTACCTGAATTTGCAGAACAATTAATTACTTACAAGCATGAAAAATGAAAGTCCATACATCTTTGCTAAAATTGCATGATGCCTCCACTGAAGTTTATTGTGAAAAGCAACTCCAAAGTTGATATCTCACAGTGTCTACTGGGATTGAGAATCCAACACCAGAGGATGCACCAGATGGAGAGTATATGGCTGTATTTATCCCAATAAGGCTTCCTGAACTATCAAGAAGTGGCCCTCCACTATTACCAGGATTAATGGCAGCATCTGTCTGTATAACATCCTGAATAGGACGCCCTGTGGCGGCAGAACTAATTTCTCTACGAAGCCCACTAAAAAGAAAGAAAAGGGAAAAAAATGAAACTCTCATATTTCGGAAGATACAGATAAATTTAAAACATCAACATAGGAAATGGTTGCATCACTGATATTTCCTTCTCTATTTAAATTATTTATTTATTAGTTATTTTATCAGCTAATGGCATGTTAAGGGCGATCCTGATATGGTGAAAGTATTGGTTATCAAATCACTAGGAAGTAGACTCCAATGTTTAAAATAGCCCCTTCATGCAACATTGCTGAATAACATGTCTATCACTAAATTCTCTCTTACAGGACCTAGCATCGGCGGGACCATAGCTAGAAAATGACCTTTTACTACTTGATGAAATGCCAATTAAATCATAACTGATTAACTGTTGGAACACAAGCACACTTTTATTTCATCGATCACATAACCATAAGCTATTTCAGGACATTTCTGCTTGGGTCAAAAACATACAGGTAACAGCAAAACAAGAGCATTGCAGCCAATTCCTTACACACTAATATAGGATACGACTCATGGCCAAAACGCCTAGTTTCCAATGAATTCATGCAGACAAATAAAAACAAACTTTCCTGGATTTTGTACCTGATGACACCAGTTGTTAGAGTATGGTCAAGTCCAAACTGCAAAAGTAACAAAAATCAAATCAGGAAATCAGGTTATTTATTAATGTCAAGTTTGCAATGCCCAAAATGAACCATGCTCCTCCATCTACAAGAAATAACTTTTGATGACCAAGCTATGAGAAATATTAGCACTAAATGCTAGCCTTTGCTCCATCACTGGACAGAAATACAAATCCGCAAAATGTATAACTAAAATTTGCATTCACCTTTTGAACAGAAAGCAAGCATTCACCTTACATTTCACACTTCTAATTTCTATGTTATACTGATCCAATGTTAATACATATGTGATGGCTATTGTAGTCTAGAGATACCAGGAAATGGGAAACAAGGAGAAAAAGGCATATCAAACTCACAGGGTTGCCAATAGCATATACTTTCTGACCAACAAGCAAGTCAGCAGAAACACCAACAGGTATCGGTCTTAGTTTGTCTACAGGTGCATCAACTCGTAATACAGCAACATCCTTGTCTTGGTCAAATCCAACAATTTTTGCATCATAAGTTGACTGGTCAGCAAGAGTGACCCTGTATACAAACTAGCATCTATATGAATGTGAACAATATGGTGTTTGCTAGAATCCAACAGAATATTTTCAATCTTCTCTTTTTAGCTAGATATATACGAGCACAATTGAATCTCACACAATGCTGCAGATAGAGGAGTTAAGGATTCAATGAGTGGGAAGAGGAGTTAAGGGTTCAACAAGCGAATTCACTGTGTAACATAGTAAGATCAATGTGCTGTAGATCCAAAATGTATAAAATGATTGTTTACTAGAAAATACAGATGCTATTAGAAATAATTAAAATGGCAAAATCCAGTAGTGGCATCCTTATCCAAATCAATGGCAAATCTTTAGCATCTTACTCTCTATTTCCTTCATTATCTCTCCTCATGATGTAAGGGCAACAGTAACTTGAACCAACATGATATATCATTTTATAATTTTCCCGCTCTTCTACGTTCTAGCATTGGAAACAAGTCATAATTGTCATGAACTAATTATTAGCAGTCAACCAAATTTGAGTGGAAATACAAAACTAAGTAGTTAGAGATCTTTTTTTCTCAATATATTTCATTTTCCTAATGCTACTCTATTCCTTTTAACAATTCACATTTGAAAGCTAAAGTTCCTGATAACTTCAAGGGTTTTATTTGGCCTCTGGTGAAGATTGGGATCAATACCAGAAAGTTGTTGCAAGCAAGAAGGCCAAATAAGTAATAAAGGCATTAATCCCTGATGTATGTATCACACATAGCATTGCTCTAGCTATCTATAATGAGAGCCTTTTGGCGTTTTGAACAGAACTAGTTCAAAATCAGGGGTTCTGGAAGGAAGGACCAGCAGTTGAAAAAACGTTGTGGCATGTTTCCAGTATTTTGATGTATTTGGCTGGAGTAGAGTACTCCAATTTTCAACGACTACTACTTACATCTGTGGTTATTATGGAATAAAATTGTCTTCTTAGCTTCTCTATGACATTCTACTTTTGGCATCTCAAACCCAAGAGTGCCCAAGTAGACATTGAAAAGATTGCAGAACTTTATTTTATCAATTTTGTCTTACGTTTTTCTTTAATTAGTTATTTTTATACATTACACTGATGATATTCCTCCTTTGCATAGTTGTCAAATCGAGAATCGAAATCCCTATTTTTTGAATCAAGAATCGAATCATATCGTAAGATTAGATTGTTCAATTAAAAATTATTAATTTTATTCAAAGAATACTAAAAATCCAAATGCAAATCATAAAATAAAATTGAATTGAATGACATATAATATGTCAGTACCTAATTGCAATTGCAGAGAATATAATAGTAATTGTGTGAATTAGTTTAGACTTTAATTGTAAATATTTTGTTTCCATGTGACGTGACAGTGATTAAAGTGCACTACAAATAGTCTACTATTCATATATGGAAAAATTAGTCATTTCTCCTCTAGTAATCTGTTCAAATTCTCTCTGTTTAATTATTTTTATGGCTCTGTTTTGCTCCTCCTCTCTTTGTATATGTTCTCTCTTCTATTTTCTACTTGTTTCTCAGTAAACAAACATAGATTAGACAATGCATGGAGCAGTTTTCTCTTTTATTTTGCTTTTTTCCAATTGATTTCTGAATCGTGTGAATCGACCGATTCGCTGCCGATTTGACCAATTCATCACCGATTCAGGCCTCTTTCAGGTTCTACACTAAGACTCGAATCGTACGATTCTAACAACACTGCCTCCTTGTAACTATCTCCTCTTCTTCTCATCAATTTTTTGTTCATAGAAGTTTTTGTAACATATATGCATCACAAACTAATCAAAACAGTTCTTTTTTTTATTATTTCTATTGAACTGAACCTGGTCATGGATTTGAGCCACGGAAACGATTTCTTTGCAAAAGCAGAGAGAAGGTTGTTTACATCAACCATCCCAAAAGCCCACAAATGTAGGGAAAACCAGTTTGGGACTAAGACTTACTTCTTGTTGTTGTTTTTGTATTGAACTGAATCCTAATATTTCAAGTCGGCTACATGCAAATTCCAACATATAATGGCATCATAATGACATCCAAATCAATAATCAAACTCACTTGTCCAATGTCCTAAATTGAAGCAATGGAAAATAACATTAGAAATTCTTGTTGACGGCAATATCAGTAATTCACACGTTCTATATATTCAAAGCTCAAAAACCAATAGAATTTCCATAATTTACACCTTTAATTTATCAGCAATCCCTGAAAGTGAACTTCAAACGATATCCAGCATAAAATAACAGAATTATTAACTAAGTTTGTTTATATATAAAATAACTGGATGATATTTTACTAACTTGAGATCAGAAGCACCACGAATCACATGATAATTTGTGACAATGTGACCATCTTTGTCCCACACGAATCCAGACCCAGAACCTTGCGGCACCTCCAACACATCCAAAGTAAAAGCGTCCTGCCTATTCAAACAATCAAATAAAAGAGCTTCAATTGGACAGAAATCGTAGAGCTAATAACAATAACCAATAAGCCTAAGTAGGAAATACTTGACAGCGAGATTCGTTATATAAACAACAGAGGGAGTGTTCTCTTGAAAGAGGCGAACAGTAGCGAGTTCATCGGACTGCAATTTACGAGGAGTTGTAAGGACGAAGGCGGCGGCGGGGTCCACATCGGCGAAGAATAGAGAAACCGACAAGGCAAGTGAGGTACAGAGGAGAAGCGAATCTAGAGCTGAATTTGAAGAGGAGGAGGAGGAGGAGGAGGAGGAGCGAAGGCGGCGGCGGGGTCCACATCGGCGAAGAATAGAGAAACCGACAAGGCAAGTGAGGTACAGAGGAGAAGCGAATCTAGAGCTGAATTTGAAGAGGAGGAGGAGGAGGAGGAGGAGGAGGAAGAGTTTTTGGTAAATAAGAGATTGTTTGGGGTTAGAGTGTGAGAGTGGAGGACGCGACGTAAGAAACAGAGAATGCGAGAATTGTTACTGTCATTATGGCTTTTGTGGATAGAAAGGCATTTAAGTTCAGACACAGAGAGTGGAGGCTTTCTGTTTGGAGAGCGAGAAAGTGGAGAAGAGTGATGGAAGAAAGTGGAAATGAGTGAAGAAGTTGTAGCCATTTTTTTCTCAGTTATTTTTTCTTTTCTTTTCTTTTTTTTTAAACGAAAGAGGACTCTCTCGAGCCTTACAGCGCTAGCCATATCATATGTGTTCGTTATTCGTTGAGAAAATAGTATTATTATAATAATTCACTTTTCTTTAGTCTTTTCCACACATGTTGATTAATCATTCATTGTTCTTTGTTTTTTTTTTAAAAAAAAAATTAATCATCGGAAGTAACATACAACTGTCAGTTACCTTTTTAAGAAAAAATCACACTATATATTATTTTAATTAGCTTATATATATATAATTAGCTTTCTATATATATATATCATATATATATATATTAACAATTAACTTACTTTAAATATTATTTAAATATATATATATTAAATAAAATACAAGTTTGTACCAGCAAATCCTAGGTATTTTATTCTAAAATCGTGTGATCATTGTTCAACAGTCCACCAAACTTCCACAGGAATAAATTACATAAAGATCAACTGGTCATGGGAACTAGGCACTTAACCTTCTAATGATGCAGAAAGAAAAATGTCAGGCTATCTAAAACGAGGCCTAATATTTACAATTCTTTCCCAGCGGTCTTAGTTCGCTGTGAAACATCGAAAGTTCCCAGCATTTAACATCAGATTGTAGCAATTGGTCGCTTGCCATTTTTCCAGGCGAATGCCCTCTGCTAGGTGCTCCTTGTTTGGGATGTTAGGCATCAACAAATTTGGATGCAGCTCTTTGATAAAGCTGCACCATACATATATGCCCACATTAAAGGAAAAGAAATCTTTTGCTTAACAATACCAATATTGAGAGCCGTTTTAAAAGCTGAGTATCATGATCGAAGTTCAAGCTCACGCAAAGACTTGCAAATACTGCCTCAATTTGGTAGCAGACAAACTATCAAGCGATTCTCTAGTTTGGCTCAGTATTCAAGCGGCTCAAATTAACCATATGGAAACACTTATACTTGGTTAAACTTGGAAAAAAGAAAGGAAGAAGAAAAGAGATTAAACAAGCTGGTGAACTGGCCTCCCCTAAGATTCTCAACACCGGATGCCAAATCCACATGCTGTCTTTCCGATAATATGATCTCTGATTGCTGCAAAACAATGGGGGGAAAAAACCCCCCCCCCTAAAATTTTTTTTTGAAAAAATGAAAAAAAAAAAAAAACCCGGCCCCCAAATTTTAAAAGGCTATTTAGAAACAATTCACATCTAATAAGGCCAAACAAAGCATCTATGTTGCTTAGGCACAGATCTGAAGAGAAGTATAAAACATGGTTTTTCCTAAAGGGTGGCAAATTTACACTATAAACGTGTAAACCAACAACTAACTATTAACACTTGTCTCCAAAAGTTCTCAATTAATTCGTCGACAGTTAAATCAACCATTCCTAACACTGTCAGTGAAATCTCTTCACTTGGGCATACTTTGCATTGCCCAAAATTTAGGTTCCATACAAGAAAAATGCACCAGTGTATAACACCCAACAAAACGT